TGTTTCTCCAAAAATAAAAATATGAAGTCGAGAACAGATTTGTTTCACTTTCTTATCAGTCATCTCATGACCCCTCATATTTATCTGATGTTTAAAACTGCATATACGGAAGTTCAAAGTAGCTCCACCTGCAGCAGCTACAACATGCTGCAGATACTTCACTGTTAATAATCTAAAGTCAGCCATAAGGATCAAACCAGTACTGTTTCATTAATACTTTAACTACACTTTGCTGCTATTGCTCATGTCCTTTTAATAAAGTATCATCAATAGCTTTAACTTGTGATGGAGTATTTTTACTTTACTGTACTGATGCTTCTATTCTAGTACAAGATCTGCTAGATCTTACCACTGCTCATTGCTCATGCAAATTCTATTTAATATGCAGAGAAATGCATACAGTATGTGATATTGGAAGTTTGATGCAGTGTGTTTTAATTAAATGCTTTTACGCTTTCTTAAGCAGAGCTGTGGTGCTTCACTAACACCTGCTCTGAAGGCGCTTCATGAATCCTCAGTGTCCTCCATCCAAAAAATAAAATATTCGGCCCCAGAATTTTAAAAAAATTCAACCAGTTTCCAAGTTGTGACTGTTATATTTAACGCTTTATATTATAATACAGTGTAACACCACATAGAGAAATACAACTGATGATAAAACATAATTTAGTTTTACATTCATGAACACTGTCAGTGCCATCTTTGTTTGGATTAGAAAAATATATTGGATCAGACTGTAAAATGTATTGAAAGCAGTAAAGCTAGGTCAGAAGAGGATTTAAAAAAAAACCTTTAACAACAGCTGTAAGTGTTGTTAAATGACCAGCTATTTATTTTTCACAAAAACAGATGCTGAACTGACCCTAATGTACATGTGAAGCACAAACTGTCTTCACATGTGGCTCTGACATTTCAGTCTCTGACATTTACTGTGATTCACAGATCCCGAGGGGAAGCGATGCTCCCGATGGCCCTTCACCACATCGGCCTGTGCGTGGCGTTTTGCCTCAGCAGCAGTCTGGCCACACCTCCGCTGTTTTACAGTTTTCTGGAGGGAAGCACGGATGAAGAAGAACTCAGTAACTTGAACTCCTCGCTGCCCACCAGCAACCTGTCCTCCATGCACCAGACCCCGCCTGTGGACACGGCCCAGGACGACACCGACTTCCTGACGGAGCTTGTGATCTTTCTGGAGGAGAACAAGCTCCTCATCCTTGTTGCAGGAACTCTCATCCTGCTCGTCTTCCTCATCATCTGCGGGGCGATTGTCATGAGCCGCAGACGCAAAGTCAACGCCTACTACCCGTCCTCATTCCCCTCAAAAATGTACGTGGACCAAAGGGACAAAACTGGAGGTGCCAAACCCTTTAACGAAGTGAAAGAAAAAGCTGCTCCTGAGCAGGAAAGTGAGCCGATGGACTCTCACAAGCAGCTCCAAGCTGACATCATGAGAGCTGCCAAGAGCCTGCGATCGCCAAATAAACCTGTTGATGCTGCAGAGAGATGTGACCCCAGTCAGAAAGTAGCAGCCCACAGTGTGGAGGACAGCTCGAAACCAGATGTCAGCCTCCTAGACCAGCAGCTTCCAAGTCTCCCCGAGGAGAAGGAGCTGCGTGAGGTTCCTGACAGCGAAGCAGCTGCAGCAACAGAGCCGAGTCCTTCAGATCAGCCTCATCCAGAGGAAGCCGAGTCACAAGAGCCTTCGACCGGCAGGAGCCTCCGGCCCTCCTCTCTGCACATTCACAATGACTCTGCCACACTGCAGCTAATCGCTGGAGAGAAAACGGCCTTCTAAGAAACCTGAACATGTTTCCTGATGCTTTGAAACCAGACGTGGAAATGTGTGCAGTTAACCTCCAAAGAATTCTACATGTTTACTGAAGCAAATGTGGAAACGTTACACTCACAGGTGGTTTTGCAATATTTCATGTTTAGGTGCAGAGCAGTTAAACACTCAGCGGCCTGTTTGCTCTGACTGGACGTAACCGTCGTGCCATTTTGTAAACATGTTTATTGGTAAGAAAAACAGTTGTTCTGTCGGTCGACGCTTGTGTTTGTCTACATCCTGCAACATTCCTGCGTGCGGGTCGCTACCATAACAAACGCGTGTTGTGGCACCAAACACTTCTGTGCAAAACACGACGCTGACTCGCATCAGTGACTTGATTCTTAGTAAAGTGCAGAAAGCCACTTCCTGAGATTAGCTGTGGGTTGCCTCTAAAAAGCAGAAGTGCATAAATACATGTAGCCCTTATAAAGACTCTATTTCATTTAGGTGAGCTTCAATCACAATATAATGTGACTCACTAAAACGGCATAAAGAAAAAAATTACAGTTATGCACAAAATGTCTAAAAAAAAAGGAGTTATTCAGGGTATTTGAGGAATAAACTGAACTCAAAGCAACAAATGATTCAGAATACTTTTATTGCAGACTTTCAAGGAAGCATTTGTAAATATAAATTACGCTGAAAACTAATGGACTGTTGTTTTGTTTCAAGTCACTTTGCATATCAACAAGTGAGTGCTTAGGGTGCAGGCAGGATAAATGAAACTGCAGTGTGGAACTTTTGTCTCCCCCTACTGGCAGTGAAAGTAATTACACAAACACTGTGGATGAAGTGTTTGTCTTCAATGCTAACCTTTTTTTTTTTTTTCCCCAGACCGTAATTCGTTTGTTTTTCAAATGGAGCATCAGATTTTTTTTCTTGGATGCTTCCTCCCCTGTGGCCTTCGTCGTCACTACAGTTGGTCCCAGCTTCAGCTCTGGTAATTGCTGGTTGATGTAAAATATACCAAAACTGAGCAGAAATATCACCACAGAGATCAAATTTAAAACTTGCTGCAGAGAGATTCACCTGATGCTCATCTGATCAGCGCTGTGTTTGGCGAGGGCTCGAATGTAAGAGACGCTCTTGTGTGTGTAAAAGTCCCGCACTACAGCTTTAAATCGCTTTTAGCTTTAATTAATCCCTTCATCACACCTTTCAGAACAAACACTAGCCATCACAAAATCTTAAAAAATTCTCAAATATAATCAATCTTAACAATAAGGCTCAACTTTGTACCAACAACCCAAACAGTGCTTGTATTGTGCGTTTACGTGACAGGCTAAAAGATACAGTATACAGAGTTAGAGGGTCACAGACTAACACAGAAAGCCTGGTGTAACACTGCTACAGAGGGTTGACCACGGTGTACTTGATGGTTAACGACATCTTTTACTCATTACTGCAGGAAAAGTGAGGTGGTGATACTGGACTATTGCGACTTCTCTTCTCGGCAGCAAATGTTGTCCAGCTCAAAGTGAAAGTGCTCCGTTTAGATGCTGGCCCTGGCTGCCTCCTGCTGGTCGTCATGCTGCTTGAGACGATAGTCAGCAAGGGCTGCCTTGATGGCATCTTCTGCAAGCACTGTAAAGGAACAATAAGAGGTTAAATACATGCACCGAGCAGTTTAGAAAAGAAGAATAACTTTTCTTTTTTTCTTTTTGTTTTTTAAATCAATGAAGACTTACTGGAGCAGTGAAGTTTAACAGGTGGAAGACTGAGCTCTTTGGCAATGTCAGTGTTCTTTATCATCAGAGCTTCATCCACCTGAAAAGGAAAGCACACAGCTCCAGTAACCACAAGAATGTTTCCGTCAATAAGATACAAGCACAGCAGAGTACAAAAGAACAAATGTAAAAGTCAGTACATGACGCCGTCTAAGAGGAAGTGAAAGAAATGTCACGTTGTGAAATGTGTTTACTCACAGATTTGCCTTTCACCCACTCAGTGGCCAGAGAGCTGGAGGCGATGGCAGAGCCGCAGCCAAAAGTTTTGAACCTGGCATCCACGATCTTCCCCTCGTCATCCACTTCAATCTGCCAAAAGTGTTTAGTTTTACTCAAGCGTCAAAGGCGGATATAACTCTCACATTACAAATCTAATATTACAGTTCAGTTCTTAAAAACCACACATCAATATTTGATTTTGAACCTGGGAATAAACATCTGCTCTAAAAAATGTATAGTAAATGACTCCCCCTTAATATATAACGTTGGAAATGCTTTCTAGCAAACTTAGAACTATTTCAGACATCCTACACGGTAAAACAAAAACGTAATTTATCAGTGCTCTGTGCATAGATCTTCCAAGTACTTTTCTGTTGTGTTATTACATACTAGATTTATACATTGGCACTAATGGTACAGTGTGTATACAAGGCTGTAATGGACCCAGATTTAGTGGCAAACGTACCTGAAGCTTCATCACATCTCCACAAGCTGGAGCGCCCACCAAGCCAGTCCCAACTTTCTTGGAGTTCTTGTCCAGTGAGCCCACATTTCTGGGGTTCTCATAATGATCCACCACCTTCAGAGAACAGAGAGGGGAAAAGGCCGCGTTAGTAACAATTTACTGCAGTCACCATTCATTAACACAAAAACAAAAGTGAGGAAGCTCGATGACAGCAGCATCCTGGGAGGCCATTTGGATTCTTCAAAAATCACAAAAAGAACGTCTATAGGTCTTGGCATCGCTGTTACACAACTACATATTTCCTCCCTTACGTAAGAGACACCGAAATAAACAGATTAGGACTGGATTTCATTGTCCACTATTCCAAATCCTATATCCTGCCCTCCCCCCCTCTAGTTTCTGCCGAGTCACTCTGACAAGACATAACGAAGCGGCTGAGCATCTCAATGCAGAACTACATTTAATACAACAAAGGCAGAATAAAAATAGATACAAAAAAATCTCCTTATGATTAAGAAACTGTTTTATTATATATAAACAATAGCTAAAATAACATCTTTGTCAGACAGGATGTCACATTTAAAGCCAGGCTCACTAGTTGAAATCTCATAGTTAAAAATGCTTCATGAAATAATTTCAGTAAAGGTTTATTATATCTAAACATCACAACCAAACAAAAACACATCTACCACAACATGATTTCACCACGTTGCATCAGACATGTCAAAATGAAACTTAACAAGTGAACAGGTGTGCTAGATACCTAAAAGATGCTCCATCCTTAAGAAAACGATATATTTCTGCTATTACAGAATCTGTTTCTAGCACACTGTGCTCCTACACCATATTGACACCCCTTAAAGCGCATTAATCGGATGTGATCTAAGAATTAAAACTGTGCCCAGCTGGGGCACAGATTAGGGACGTTATTCTAGTCCAATACTTGCTATGTAGGTGGAAATATTGCTAACTATTTTTTTGTTTTCACACCTTATCTCTCTCTGACACTCCCTCCTCTGTGTGTCTGGAGGCAGACTGATGTACATAACACAGCACATGTAAGTCACCTTCCTGTGTTTGTCCCCTAACTACGCAGTTAACCAGCTCTATCTAATTAACTGACTGATATAACTACTGCTAGCTTCAGTGCTAATGGTGCTCTCATTAAGCTGTTATAACTGACTTACACCAAGCTAACTAGACTAAATGTAAACATTAGCCAAATGGCAGCTATAACACTATGCTCCCTCGGGCTCTTTTTGGTAAAGAAGCTACACCAGACTGGTTTTACCTTCTTGTGGTAGCAGCACTGAGTGATGAACTCTGGAGCAGAGAGCCTCCTGGTGAGGAAAGCCAGAGGACTGAGACACTTCTTCGCCACGGTACCCGCCATGTTGACAGAATGGCGCAGTTTGGAAGAGGAGAGCAGCTCGAGCCCCGGTTACTGTGAAGGGGAGGAGCTAAAGATGACTGCATCTGCGCATGTCCGTTCTATGTAAAACAGCGGAAGGTAAACATCCTTTCATAATACAATGCAGTTAGACGGTCAGTATAAATACAGGTAAACATTTATGACTGCAGTTTTGAAACAGTTTGTTTAAAAAACAAAAAACAAAACAGCGACCACTTTACCCACCTTATATGGTCACTCTGACTTTTAAAAGTAGATATTATCAGTGGTTATTTATTAAGAGAAGTGCAAACTGGTGTAAGATTCCCCTCGCCACCATATTTCCCCTCCTGACCACTGATTATGCCATATTTTCCTTTCATGTCTTTAAATAGTATTGATATCATTTTACTCGTCTGAGGAAGTGGTTCTGAAGTAAGAGGATGTAATATTCAGACAGCACAAAATCAGCTTTAGTGGTACTTATTAACAATATACATGTACAAAAGTTTCTTTACTATTAGCAAAGGAGTCATGCAGATGGTTGTCCATTAGTTTGAGCAGAAATAACATAAACTTAATGTAATATGTGAAAATGTGAGAATAGGCCTTGACAGGGAAGAAAGCCTCCCATGGTCGTCAGTGTTTTCCAAAACTCTAGCCTTGCTAATGGTGGATTTAGATCAGTTATGTACACTTTAATGTATTTCAGTCACACAACAGCTAACCACAAGTAGAAAATGTGTCATTATCTTTCTTAAAGGCTAACTAGTTGACTTTGGTTAAGCTTGCTGTAGCTCTAGCTAACTCGCTTGACTTCTTTGCTACTGTGTCAAAATAGCTCTGTTGATTTGGCATTATTTTTGTGTCATAAATTTAAATTTATGAAAGCATTTAAAAAGAAAAAATACAACTAATTAATTAAACAAAGTTACACTGCAGCATTCATGATGCAACTGACTGATCATCTTAAACTATGCATCCTATTTTATAAACTGATCGCATGTTTTGTATGTATATTTTAAACCTTTAGGGTAAACAGCCGTCTGGGTGCCGGCACCTCCAGTGGTCATGGTCTGCGGCTCCCCCCCGGTGTGGATGGCCCCAATTGGTGGCGTTTTCCACCAGCCTCAGTGGCATGCCACGTCGCCCTACGCTCAGTGGTGAGAGTGTGTGTGTACTTCCTCCACAACTGTTAATGAATCATATGCAGCAAATGCAAGTCATCAAAGAATACGGTGTTTAAAAGGAAGGATTATAAATGAATGCTAATACATTTATTTGAACCAAAGAGCTTCGTCGGTCAGTTGCCTTGTGATTATTTTTCTGAAAAGCATTTACTCAGCATTATTTTCTATTGCGTAACAGCTTCATGTGACCTTTAGGAAGTGACATGGAAATGTTTAGTTTGACCACTCTGTGTAATATGGGAAATGAGTCAGTGAATGGTTATTGCTTCATATACGTGCAGATTCCTACTACTTGGCATTTAATATTTCACTCAAGCAGGCCGCAGGAAAAAGGTCACTTTAAAGATGATTCATTGTTCATCGCGTACACACAGAATATACAGAGGCCTTTATTGTGCTTTTACTCAGATGGTGCTGATAAAATCTCACTGTAAACATGTCAAACTTACAGTATTTTCACAGTTTCAACCATCTGGTAAAAACCACATGCTGAAGATTCAATCCTGCCATACGTTGGCCTGACATCACCCACCTGAGTCTCTGATCTCTGTGCTGTTAGATAAAGATAAACCAGGACCAGTGTAGTTACTAGTAGTGATGAATATACATGTGTGTATAAATAGCAATGCTTAGATCATTTCTGTGAAGAATTCTTCACTTACGTATCAGTTTAGTTTTAAAAGCATGAAGGCCACAGATGTGAGGTACATTAAATGGTCCCAATATATGATCACTATCACAATTGTTTCTTTTTTCTCTTAAAGATATGAACCTCTTGTACACTTCAGAGTTCAGCTAACACAGAATTCTGCCACCTACAGATGTTCTGGAAGCTTTTGCAGCTGTTGGAAACATCAGGGGGAGTATCAAAGGATGATGGACAGTTTTGTGGACTGGTGTGAAGTGGATCACCTGCAGCTCAACATCAGCAAAACAACAGAGCTGGTGGAGGACTTATGGAGACTCAGTACTCCTACTGCTCCTCTTTCCATTAGTAAAGAGAAGTGGTGGAGGAGCACAAACACCTGGGCGCTCATTTGTACCCCTTTTCCACCAAACCAGATCCAGTGCTAGTGCTTGACTTGGCACCAGTTCTTTGTGTTTCCACCGCCTAAGCACCAGCTCCAGGTTCTCAATACTGGTGCTTAGCAAGCACCAACTCTTTGCTGGGCCAGAGCTAAGCACCAGTACGTCAGGGGCTGGGGGTTATAGTGACCAATGAGACCAATGGGAAACGCAGAACCGCCATTTTTTAAAACAACAGCCAAGCGTGTTGGTACGTTTTAGCATTTCTTAGCATGGACGCCGAGCTGAAGCAGCAGGATGAGACTCAATGCTTCCTGGCACTAGAGCTGAGCCTGTGTTCGAGGGAATCCAGCGGGAGATGGCTGCAGCAGGGTATGAGCGGAGCTTCGACCAGCTCCTCAACAAAATTAAAAAGCTCAAAAAAGACTGTAGCGGCAGTGGTTGGCCCAAAACGAGTCCCCATTATGGCCAGCAAACTGGACTGGACCACAGACTTTGCTGCTCTCTGCACGAGGGACCAGAGTTGGCTCTTTGCACTCTACTCCAGATGTTTGTGGTGAAGCATTTACACTGTGGTCTGCTGGGGCAATAGTCTGAAGGTGGATGACACCAAAAGCCTCGAGAAACTTATTTAGATCCTGGCTCAGACCTGGGGGTGGAATTGTACAATCTGCATGTAGTCACGGAGAGGACGATGTTGCCAACACTCCTCTGTATCGTGGAAAAAGTCTCCCAAAGTGTTCGAGTTATCCAGAGGAGCACATTCAGTCAGAGGCCAACTAAATGCTCTGCAGGAGGTCCTTCCCGTCTATGGCTATTCAGTTATGTAGTTTGTTGTTTTTCTGATGAAGTTGTATAATTTTACAACTTCCACAATCTTAAAAACATGACAAACCGACTTCCCTGTGTTGATTAATAGGGTTTTCTGCTTTTTTAGACTAATTGGGATTTCTATATAGGTGCTTGAGTAACATTTATAATCGTGATTGTTAAAGATACAGGCCAAAGATCAAAAATAAACTAATTATTTATCCTGAGGCTGACAAACCTTACAACAGAATCACCCTCGTATCAAAGTTTGGCAACTTCAGTTGGTCTACAGACACGCCCTGATGCTTAGAAACGGGTTATTGGTGTATGTGGTTGTGTGGAGATCCCCATCCTGAGGTTGCAACAGGTTTTTTTTTTTTTTTTTGTGATTTTGACCAAATCTCTTTCCTACGTCACTCCTCTCCACAGCAACACTGCTCGGAAAACAGAAGTGAGAAGTTGCCTCCAGCAGCAAAGGACTCAGCAAGTCAACACTTTATAGTTGCTGCTCTCACCGTCGAGACATACCGTGAGTACTTGTTTGTTTTGTGTGAAAAACTAAAAACAATTTCTTGATAAAATTGTGAACTAGTACAGCTGTCTATGTGCATATGCTTATTAAGGAAATGGTGGTACTTTGTATTTCAGGGAAAGTAACCAGCATGGATGATGTGGACTATATTGAGTATGAGGACTACACAGCAGGCAATGACACAGAGATCAAAACCAACGTATCTCAGCTACTGACTTTCAGTACCTCGCAGTCGTCTCTGACTTATGTCCTGGTGACAGCCAATATCATTATATCTGTGGTTGGGCTCGCGGGAAATTCCTTAGTGATTTGGATCTGTGGATGGAAGATGAAAACAACGGTCATCACCACCTGGTACATCAGTTTGGCCATTTCAGACCTTTTGTTCTGTGTCTTCTTGCCACTCGACGTGTTCTACATGATAACCTCTCACTGGCCTTTCGGACAGATATTGTGCAAGCTCAGCTCCTCCGCCCTGTTTCTCAACATGTACAGCAGCGTATTCCTGTTGGTTCTCATCAGCGCTGATCGCTGTCTAATGGCCTTATTTCCTGTGTGGTCGCACAACCACCGAAGAGTGAGCAAAGCTTTTTGGATCGTCGTCCTCATGTGGATCCTCTCTGCTCTCCTAACGCTGCCCTCAATGATCTTCAGAAAAACCACAGTCCACGGCTCAGTCACTCAGTGCCACACGGATTACAAGGGCCATTCCAGACACAAGGCTGTGGCGCTGACTCGATTCATCTGCGGGTTCCTGATCCCTTTCCAAATAATTGTGTCCTGCAGCTTGGTGCTTTGTGTGAAGCTGAGAAGTTTGACCATCAAGTCAACAAAGCCCTACAAAATCATGGTGGCGCTCATCGTGTCGTTTTTCTTCTGCTGGGTCCCTTATCATACCTTTGTTCTCCTGGAGCTGGACCTGAAGAACCACAGCGTGGAAGTGCAGAAAGCCGGGCTGAGGGTGGGCTCCACGCTGGCTGCAGCAAACAGCTTCATATCCCCGCTTCTCTATGTGTTCATTGGTAATGACTTCAAACGAACCCTGAAGAAGTCTTTGACATCAGGGATAGAGGAGGCAATGGCTGACGATTTTCGTACAGGTGGTCTCAGTAACTCAAAGGCCAAGTCGATGGAAATGATCTGAAATTAAGTTGAAAGCTTTATCATCAATGCAGAGGAATACTTCACTGTACATAAAATCATTAGAAACATGGGTGACATTGGCAAAATGATACGTCATCTCATGTTTAACCACAATGTGTATAGTAGGCTTTATGTGTAATGTATATACATGTATGCATTAATGATTTATTTATCATGATCCTCAAACCTCATGACACAAGCAATACATTTGCTCACTGAGACTATCAGCTATGGGCGGATGTCTGCTGTTGATTTACTGTGTTTTATATTGTAAAAAGAAAATCTTTACTCTCAGGTGTTTTATATTTAGGTTATTTGTTGTCTATGCAAGACTTCCTGGTATATTGTTCTTGTGCTTGCTTCACATTACTCTTTGTGGAAAGCATTTTAAATCTAATTAAATGCATTATTTTCAATCATTTGGAGCAAACTGTGATGGATTGAAATATTGAGAACCAACATTTTTTTGTGTTGTTTTTAGAATTTTATAAATGAAACCAAACAAATTGTATGAAGTCATGAAGTAATTTTGTTCTGTAAAATTCAGCAGTTTTCACCTCAAGCAGTACTGTTGTATATAACTGTATTTGTTCTAGTGTCATTATAATAAAGAAATATTAAGCCTGCTAGTTTTTCCTGTTTGGCTCAAATTGAATGTGAAAGCTTAAGTGGAAAAAACCATCATCTGACTTTGCAGTTCCTCCAGATCTAGTCTCAGGGCATTAGTATAGCAAAAGTTAATAGGATAGTAAAGTTAATATAAAATGTGAGATACTGTGCTCGAGGTAAAGTAAGGCTGCTTTCTTTATGCGCTTATATACTAGAGTGGTGCTCTAGTGGCTGTTTGCCTCAGTTATATGATTTACAGAGATACAATCGTGTTGAACTGAATTAAACTGAATTTTAACGGAAATTAATTGATTGTGATTTAATTTAATTGAATTGAATTGAACTGGTTTGATTTCAATGAACTGAAATGAGCCTAACTGAATTTAATTTACTTAAATTAAATTGAACTGAATTGAATTGAATCGAACTGAGCTGAGCTGCATTTCCTGTCAGGCACAGCTGAGGGCAACAGAAGCCCATCTACATGAAGCCCCGCCCCCTACCGGAAGCCCCGCCCCCTGCCTTCCCTCTACTACCGGTTAGTAAAGCTGCGGATGTGTGATGCAACCAGCTGTAGGGATATTTTCTCAACTCCTCACAACTAGTTTGAACTTTCACTCATCATCAGCTGTTGTCCTGAACGACAACTTGGACTCTAGACGCTCTGCTGTTCGTCGCTCTGCCTCCTGTTTATCGGCTAAAGACGGCTAAACTCTCAGCCTTCGCTTCGCTAACATATTAGCAGCTCCAGATGGACGTTCGCTCGGCTTGACTCTCGCTTCTCTGCTGTTCGCCGCCGCTCCTCTGCCTGCTCGGGACTTTTCCTTATGAGTACATTTTGAGGCGCCGGGTGCCGCAGGAGTGCCACCCCATTTTCCTCGTTTGAACTGAACAAATGGCCACCGCTGCTCCCCCTCCAGCCGCTGGCTCCGCCGCGGCCGCCGAAAACCCGAGTCCCGGATCCAGCAGCTCGACCGCGGCCGACAGCGGCAACCAGGACAGCACCTTCGAGTGTAACATATGCCTGGACACCGCCAAGGATGCGGTGATCAGCCTGTGCGGACACCTCTTCTGGTAAGAACCGGCTCAGTGGCTTATGTTTTTTTAAATTATAAACCAGCCTAATCGGGTTACATGCGGCTGAGAAGGAGCCTGGACGCCCCCCTCCTCAGCCCTCTGGACTCCAGCCGGTGTTTGCTGCTTCACATGGTATTGATCAAGAAGTTAGGTGGGGGCACAGCAGCATATTGGCTTTTTAGATCATCCTAGAGGTCAGTATCAGGCTCTAAAGCTGTAACCAGAAACCATCCCCAGTTGTATTGATTGTTGCTCACGTGTGTGATGTTATTTTTGTCTGTAAAGCACAACCCAATGAAGACACTCAGAAACATGCACAAAACTTTAATCTTCTGATGAGTTATAAATGCCAGGCCTGCTTTTATAGCAGTGTTATCTGCAAATACAAGGCTGTAGATTTCAGTGGAACACGCTGCATATATGTAAAATAGGACATGTAACACTGGTGAGCCTCTTTGCACTCAGTATATTTAACATCTGGCCTGATTCGTGTCAATACTTTTGCTTCTTTAATATGTTTTAAGAGAGGAGCACTCAAATCAGAAAGCTTTTTCGATGTTTGTCAGACTGTCCTCGGACATTGTGAACTAATCAAACCTCTTCCTTTGCGTCTCCTTTTCGACCAGTTGGCCCTGTTTGCATCAGGTAAGCCCTCTTTGTTTTCACTTCATTCAAATGCCAAAGACGGTGCATTGTTGTGGATGCTTCACACAGATAAAGCTTCTTAACGCCTCTTTGTCTCCATGCAGTGGTTGGAGACCCGACCAAACAGACAAGTGTGTCCGGTGTGTAAAGCTGGTATCAGCAGAGACAAAGTAATCCCCTTGTATGGCAGAGGAAGCACAGGTCAACAAGACCCCAGGTGGGTACTCTTAAGTGAGACGGGTCAGACTGGCTCGAATGTCTTGTGCAATCACAATCTTCCAGTGATAAATATGCTCAACACCCATTTTGTAATGCTGCATTTAACCTAAGTGGTGTGACTTTAATATTTTTCTGCAAGGTTAGGAATACAGACACAGTGCAATGACTGCTTTTGCAAAATGTGGTTTTGTTTTTAAAGAGAAAGAACTCCCCCTCGACCACAAGGACAAAGGCCTGAACCAGAGAACCGTGGTGTAAGTACCGAGAACACATCATAACAAAGTGTATTTCTCTGTTCCATATGTGCCAAGTGGTACGTTAGCTGCTCAGTAACTTTATGCATTCATGATGTAACCATTACATAGAATGATGCAGGTGCTGCAGCGCTAACCTGTGGCTTATTCATTAGCGAACGGACGTTTCCCACTGGGATCTATTACGCTTTAAGAGCGGAGGTGCCACGTGCCTCTTGGGAATGATCACAAATTGCACTGGCTGTTGCGTCACATCTCACTTTCTGTATGTTAAGCTTTAGATATCATGAAGATAAACACTTTTTTTTTCTTTTTAATGACATGTTTTGCAGGGTTTCCAGGGATTTGGCTTCGGAGATGGAGGTTTCCAGATGTCGTTTGGAATCGGTGCCTTTCCGTTTGGTATTTTTGCTACAGCTTTTAACATCAACGATGGAAGACCTCCTCCAGGTATTTCTGTTTGCCACGCTTCACCGTGACCTCTCTTGTGTCCTTTCAGCAGCAAAATATCAAATAACCTGTGTTAAACACTTTCCCCAAACAGCAGCTCCGGGGACACCGCAGCACACGGACGAACAGTTTCTGTCTCGGCTCTTCCTGTTTGTCGCTCTGGTGATTATGTTTTGGCTGCTGATTGCATAATTATGTGGAAAGGAAAGGTGACATCTTGTGTTAACCTGTACAGATTTGTCAGAGATGAGATGCGACACACGGTCTCGGTTTGATCCAATGTTTTGTGATTCTGCCTTCGTACATTTTTATTAGTTCTTCTTCAGTTTTTTTTTGTTCTCTCCTTGGCAGCACGCTACCACCTCAGTTATCTTACATGCATGTCTGTTTGCGTTAATGTTTAACACATGCAGAAAGCTTAAAGTGAGAGACAGTGGCTGAGCGTGATGGTGAGACAGCCATGAATCTTACTACTGTGACATGTCAAAATGTCCTCTGTGGAAAATAGGCCTATTCCATGCTGAATAGCTGCAAAGAAACCTACTGGATTTAAATGCTGAATGCTAGCATGTGCTTTCTCAATAGTGAGCATAAACTAAATCGAGATATCACACATTCTGATTTTGAGTTGTCAGCAGAAAGTAGTGTGTCATGGATGCGCCCTTTTCTTTTTCTTTTGCTAATATGTGAAACCTTTAAGTGCAGGATCGTGCACTCAGAAACAGTAGCAGAGGGTAAATATAGTGACTTTGTGCAAGTGGGTGACAAATTAAAGGAATAAAACAAGCGTCTTCGTAAGGTGCTGGGCTACCAAATGCCCACAGAACCAGTTTAATGCACCTCAGCATTGTTTCTGAGAGACTGTGAAACTCTGCTGCAGGGACGGAGCAGCATTTTTCTCTCGTTTGGTGTTTTGATGATGATAGTGGAGAGCGCTGTCTAACTCATCAGTCCAAAATCTAACATGTGTTGCGATCTGGTGACTGTGAAGGCTGTAGCAGATGATTCACATCATTTTCGTTGACGTTGATAGTCATCCTGGAAGAGGCCACTCCCACCAGGAAGTAAATATTTCACCATATGATAAAGGTGATCACTCGGAGCAACTTTGCATTGACTAGGAGTGATCAATATGTCCAGACTGTGTCAGGAAAATGCTCCCCCACATCACAGCAGAGTCTGTAGGGGTTCAGTTTTTCCTTTTTCCTTTAATTTGTCACCTGTCAGGAAGTGATTTTGGACTTAATGACTAAGAATGTTTTTTTTCTCCATTCAGATGTACCTGCTTTTTACAAATTGCACATCAAAAGTTACCAAATTTCTCCAGACATTTTGAGCAATCAAGATGCTACCAGACTGACATTTTTCTCTTTATTTTAGATAAGATTGAAAAGCAATGTGTTTATGATGCATGTAAGCCGTTGAAACTGACTAAATTTATGAAACAGTGTTTCCTTTCCAAACTGCAAAATCGTTTTATTTTGCTGAATTTCTTTGATGTCACTGTAATTAAATGTAAAATACTGTAGATTAATACAGAGTTAAAATGAAGTTTGATTCACTGAACATGAAACGACTTTTCTAAATGTCAATTCGCTCTATTGACAGTAAAGCTATGTAAATGAAAGAGTTAATCATTGTCTGTCTTGTTTTCTATGAAGGTGTAAATCTATCGATACTCTGTCGCCAAACAAGTCTTACTTGTCTAATAAATACACAAATCGAGACACACCAAACAATATTTTACATGAAAAATAGTTCTCAACCACTTTTGTGCTGCAAAGGAAGAAAAATAGACATTTTGGTCATTTTGTGGAAGAGGCTTTTAGAAAAACAGAATTAAGTACAAAAAAAAAAAAGTCACTTTAGATTAGTTTGGCGTCTCCGTCTCCTTCTTCTCGTGAGATTCCGGCTGTGCAATGTTGAACTCTGCTTCGTACATGATCTGCTGGATCTTTATTTTTGTCTCGCACCTCTTCTGCGGAGCGAGCCGCTTCAGAGCAGGAACAAAGCTCAGCAGAAACAGTTCGTCCTCGTCCCGCGGCCTGGTGGGACACGAGTTGACACCGTCTTTGACCAGCCATTTTGTCGGCAAGGTTGTACTCTGAGAGGAAGGCGGCGGCGGCGGCGGCAGCGGATCCTGCATCAGCCGCCGCTTACGTCCAGTGTTGCTGGCGGGGGTGATCTGTGGGCCGGATGGCATCTTGGCCAGAACAGCCAGCTGGGCCATCTGTGTGTCCTGAGACGCCGGAGGGAGCTGAGTGACAAAGGCCACCTGGGGCTTCAGGTCAGGTGGACTGACGGGGACCTTGGTGAGATTCTGTGGCGCCTTCACTGCTTCCGGCAAAGCGGTTTCTCCCTCCGCGCCGCCCGTTTCGTTTTCGGGGTTGTCGTGGTCGTCGTCATTGTTGCCACAGATGTCCGCCACGCCGCTTCTGGAGCCAGTGAAGGGCGCGATGAAATTCATAAGCTGCCTGTATTTCCATCTGCTTTGGATGATTTCTCCTTGCTTCTTGCTCTTGATCTCCATCCGGATTTCCTTCAGGTACCTGTCTCTCATGTTCTTCCATTTTCTTTTGCATTCCTCGGCTTGGAAAAGAAAATATCAGAGCATAAGAAACAGGAAAATACAGGAACAACAAACATAAAGCAACCTGGACATCCGTTACTGTTATAGAACTCCTAAACAATGCTGCATTTTCCTCTAAAAATTCCAAAAATATAGTTTTCAGTCCCGTTACCTAAATAGTCAACACCAGGGATCTCCAGCACCGGTCCTGGTGAGCTACTGTCCTGCAGGTTTTAGATGTTTCCGTACTGCAACACACCTGACTCGGATCATTCACAGACTTGTGTAGAACTTGACAACAAGCTGCTGGAGATCCATTAATGTGAGTCATCTAAAACCTGCAGGACAGTCGCTCACGAGGACCGGAGTTGGAGATCTCCGGTCTACATCATGATTAAACCAACGCTCACTGCTGTTACTATGGAGGCCAGATAAGTTTCTTGTTGGCACATGGTTGACCTTCGTGTGCTCGGCTCTAAAATAAATACAGCAGGACTGGGCAGAGTAAATGAGGTGTGCCTTAACACGGCTTTCAAGCTATATAACGATGCTAAAACGCAAAAGCAGTCAAATCAGTGCAACAGTTCAGCAAATTTTCTGAGCTTGTCAGAGGTGTTGATTATCCACTGAACTGCCCGTTACTTTCTTGATTGATGCATTAATTGTTTGTTCTATTGAAATTTCAGAAACGTGGAAAAGTGCCAATTACAATCCTCATGTCCAAAGTGACATCTGGGTCATTCCATGTCAAGTCAACAAATTTGTAGAACAATTTCTGCTTGAACATCTCGGATTTACCTGATTTTTTATTTTTTGGCATAAACTATAGATATTTATAATGATAAGTACAAACAAAAGGCTCAGTTTTCAATGTGCTGGAATTGGGCCGATAGGCAATTTATATTTTAAATCTTCCTTGGAAAGTACTTAATATATACTAATCTAAAATTTCATGGACAACAATTTAAATATCCATAGTTTAAGATAAAAAATGTTTTAAGTGAATCAGAGACGGTCGAGCAGAAGACCCCCTGATGATTTGAAATGGAACAACCCATCTTTAAATTGATTGATTTGACCAACCAGACAAACATCTTGAGTTTACTTTACATTAAGACATGTAGCAAATCCTTACAATTCATAAGCTGGAAAAAAAAAAGAAAAGTTCAGAGTTTTGCCTTAAAAAAAACCCCCAAAAAACCTTAAATGAATAATAATCATAATTACTTTTGCTAAGTAAGTGTTTAATCAATTAATAATTTCAGCTCAATAGAATGAGAGGCCACTAAAATCATACAGTTGAATTTTTTTAAATGCAAAGTCATTACAAACCGCTAGAATTATAGTAATAATAAATATAATATAGGAGGTGTTGAGCATCTATCAGCCTTGTTGATTGCTGGAAAACAATTTCTAATAAAGGTAATTTTCAGTTGCTCTGATGCAGCAGCTTCTCTCTATCTGTGATTTATTAATATTATTATTTTAATTTAAACATATGTTAAACAATAAAAGGTATGTCACCTAAATTCGGTGTTGGAGTTTATTTTATTCAAAATTTTGACCCCAAGATTTTCGTTTTTCCTGCAGACGTGTATCGGTCTTATTGATCACTATATGAGTGTCATTTGTGTCATATCTGTTGGTTTATATTGAATTAAAACGCACAAAAATCTAAAAATGGCCCAAAAGTCGGTTATTTAGTGATAAAGTATTAAATATTGCAAACTAAACTTTATCTAAGTAAAAATAAATAAAGTAAATAATTGGTATTTATGTGTAAATCTTGACAAAACTGCTCAAAGAAAAGCTAAAGTGACTCAGTAATGTGTTTTATGTACTTCGCTCCTGCTGAGCTCAGTGTGGAGGTCATGACCGGAGCCTGTCCCGCCCCGGGGCCACCTGGCCGCTCCAGGTGTGGCCCTGTGGCCCCTCAGCTGTCCGCTGCCGCCGCCGCGTCGCTTCCACAACACTCGGAGAAGCTTTGACTTTTCACGGAGCTCCGGTGTTTTAACGAGCGACACGGAAACCAAAGCGGCTCGGTGACTGCCGTGCCGCCGCGCCAGGCTTCTTCTTCTTCTTCTTCTTCTTCCTGCTCCTCCGCTTTGCCGTGTTGGACACGCGGCTGGCGGCGCAGCGGAGCCGGACCGTGCCGTTCGGCTGAGCGCGGCCTACGGCGTGCGAGCTGCGCCTGCTACCGCTAGCACGGTGCGCGCCGCTGCATCCACAGCACCGGGCTGCAGGCGACAAACAAATAAAACACCGACAAATAGCCCGCGACGGACGTGCGGAATCCCTCCGTCTGCTGAAAACACCTCACCGTTAAGTTCTGCGCGTGTGGTCGTGCACGGTGACATCGGCTAAGCGAATAATAAGTGGCAGCAAAGTTGTGATGAAGAAGAAAACAAACACTCACATGGCAGACCCAGGCCCATGCTGATGTTCCTCCAGGCGTTCGCACGACTTTCCGTGCAGCGGTAGTTCGGCAAAGTGATGTTATAAAGCTCTGGGTAATTAAATACAGCCAATATTAACTTATCGTCCATTTTGCCCCACTGCTGTCTGTGCTGCGCGGACGCGGAAGCGGCAGTCTTCTCCCGCCTTTTCCGCCCAGCTGCTGCTCCGTCGCCAGTTATCGCGAGTAGCTGCTGCCGCGCGGTGCCGCGTTCAGCTGCGGCAGCGGCGCTGTTCTGCCACCGGGGGGCGCTGTGCTCTGCATGCTGAGAGGTAGACTGGGCTTTCATGCACGGACCACAAAACAACAAACAGTCGTCCTCAAATGTATTCAAACCCTCCATTAAAGAAAAGGCAAAATTTACAATAGTCACTTAAATAGGTAGAAACTGAAAAAATTATAATAAATACAAATTTGCTAAATTATAATTTAGTGAAATAAGATATTGCTTTTGAATTGTGGTTGAAAAGAATAATTTTAAAAAACAAACAAAGCTGTCTGTGCCAGATTAGTTCGCTTTGTTTGTTGTTGATCGGTGGGTGCGTCTGTCTGATTGTTCGTTACAGAACTTGCTTGCTTTGAGTGGTTGGCTCAAACTATTTGTTTGCTTGTGGGTTCCTTCTTGTTTGTTTGTTTTTTTTTTTTTTTTTGTTTCTTTTTGTTGACCCTTTTTTTTTTTTCAAGCTATGTTATGTTGTTTGAATTTGAGTTTGTAAAATATTCCTCTGTTAATCTTATACTGAACCAATGTAGTTTTCCCTTCATAGGTTTAATATGTCATATTAAATGTAAAAATGCACCAAAATTGCACAACTCACATACAGTTTTTTATTTTTCCTGTATTACACTAACACAATGTTGTGCCCATTTAGTGTAAAATCATATCAACCACAATAGTCAGATTAATTAAGTGGTTTTTAAGTGGTTAAGTTTTATCTTAATATATTTCTATTATGCAAAATTATGCTTTTTTTCTGACCTTTTCTTAAAATTTTGTGCTTTTCTGTAAAAAAACAACATTCCTCTGGTTGAGTCCTTACAGCTCATCTATACACAAAGACATCTACATGCGATGTCGACATTGCCTCATGTCATAGATTCAAAAGCGTGAGAACTGCATAATGCACGCAGCACAGCACACCCTGAAATGATGACAGATATTTATGCGTAACTCTGAGAAAAGCCTATGTAAGAAGTATGTACATACTTTGGCATTTGGGGGAGATTATGTGTCTTTATCCGGTGAATACAGAGCCGCTCCTTAACATACATCTGTGTCTGGATGTATATTTCTATTTTGGCAACGCAATCACAAATAACAAAAACATACGGTCACAGCGAGTTCAGCACCTTCTTAGCTTAAGCTGGCAGGATGATGAAGAAGCCAGACGAACTTAAACACCAGTTCCCAGAGCTCATTTTCTCATCCCAGCGGGAAGTTATGAGAAAAACACAATAGAGAGAAACGCTGCACACAGCTATCAGCCACGAGGAGTTTCTGCAACCTCGAGGGCGGTTCTCCTGATTCCTCTACAGTCCCCATCTGACAAGTGTTACTCTGCACTTGTGCACACAGTGGAAGGACGATTCTCCGCTATTTCTTGGTCGCACAGCTGCGATCTGTGATTCCCCAGGAGGTGCCGGGCCTCAGTCCAAGCAGAGAAACTGAGCATTTTCACACATGAACAGCCTGATGCCGTGGTGCAGCTCTTTTCATCTATCAGCAGTCAGAGCGTGGGTGTGTTATCCTGTGTCTCCTGTCTGAATTACACTAATTTGATTTGGGTTCTTTCATTTTAAATTCATTCTGATGCCAGCAAACAGCCTAAAGGGGCATGCTAGTGTGTGGTAATTAAACAGGAAAACCATCAGTCTGCATGATGACTGTGTCGTGTTTTCTAGGTATTAGGCTGCTGTCTTCAAAATGCAGCATCCTGATAAGGCACAATTACAATGTCCTATTCATCCTCCGCCTGCTGTGGACATGCTATTTAGTTAGAACTGGCATTCTCAGTATTCTCTGCTTCGACTTAAATGGAGCCACTGACGCTTTCTAGAAAAACCCCTTTGGTGCCACTTTCAGGTGGAAAACACTTCAAACAAAAATGCAGGCAAACTTTAACTCCAATGCTTCTTGTACCAAATATTGCTTACAACAACAAAATGAACTTTTATCATTCTAATCCCCAGTAATGAATTTTGAACCGCTTGAACCGGCGTGGATGTGCTACAATTCCTCCCTATTGAGAGCAACAATAACCGCCGATAGCCATCTCACATGCTCCGCAAACTATACATCAACAATCTGGACGCTATTAAACCCAAGTGAAAAGGATGGGATGGTGTTTATTGTTATCTGTTTTCAAAAGCCCTTATAAAGGGAGCTTAGGACAGATTGTGGAAATCCATTAATTCTCTGGGGAGGAAAAAAAAAAGGTGTATTGCCTTGTATGAAATCACAGGATTTGTTGGGGGGTAGGGGGGGGATGAATTTAACCTGTAATAGCTTTACCTCAGCTGTGCACATTGTCAAAGAAGTCAGACTGAAAAGACTGCTGCACACAGATAAGACACATGATGCACGATTGTGAATACAAACCACACAGACACGGATCCCTTTTCCGGACTTTGCTCCGACCGTGTTTGACTGTATTGAGCAATGCATACAAATCTATCAGTGTCACCACACGTCACCGGCCGGATGATTCATCCATTCATCTGTGACTCCCTAATTACTGTGTGTAATTAGCATGCATTGTTGTTGTCAGCGCAGAACCAGCTTGTGTGATTTACTGCACAAAACCCACTAATTTGCAAAAGATCATTTGTTGATAAAAGCTAAATAGGAAAAGTGACATTATGAAATAAATTTAAGAACTAATCCTCAAATTCAGCATACACAAGACTCTGGCCACACCAAAAAAAAAAAAAAAAACGTTCATCTTTAAATCCAGGTTTCTAATACCAAGCAATCCCCTTTTCTCTAAAACCTCAACAATAAGGATCTTAAGAGCTCTCCACTTCTCATTTTATGCAGTGAAATCTGATTTCTTTTGGAGAAAGGAATGAGGCAAGATTAACTGAATCTGCCGTCCTCCCTAACCTCTTCACAAAACTGCCCAGATTAGCTAGGAATTAAGTTTCAACCGTTTTATGTGTCTGGTCCATAGGGGGGATTATGGTTTTACTATTTTTTTTTCTTTGCCTCCCAATTTCACTATAAGGGCCTGACACGCTGTTGTAGACGGAGGAGAAGGAGAAGAGCAACTGAGGCTGAACTATCGAAAAGTATCCTGTGATCATCGTTTGGGTTTTATTTCAACTTTCCTTGGAGATGAATGGACTGATCAGGATGGAGAGACAGAAGTTTCCTTTTACTATTGAGAACATCCTGAGCAAATATCCAAACAGTAACGGAGATAAACGACCGTGTGGAGCAAGTGGACTAAAAGAGAAAACAGTGGGTCCTGCTGGAGGCCAGACAGACACTGTTCCTCCCGCCTGCCTCTGCTGCTGCTACTGCTCCCACTGTGCAGACATATTCCACACTGACTTCATTCACGAAGGTAGGATCAAACCCCCCTCCAGCTGTCGGTGCATGCTTTAAAACAGATCTTCTTTATCTTTAGGAGTGCTTTTTCTGCTCCCTAACCTCGAGTCACATCTCCTCCTCCCTGCAGCCTGTCAGTATGGATGGAGTCCAGCGATGCTCTCGGACCCCTGCAGGCTGGGAGACGCTCACAGGGAGGATCACTCGCCCGGTCAGGTGCAGAGGAGAACCAGACGTCACCGAACCATTTTCACCGAGGAGCAGCTGGACGCACTGGAGGAGCTGTTCCTGCAGAACCAGTATCCAGATGTGAACACAAGGGAGAAACTAGCACAGCGCACTCACTTAAGAGAAGAAAGAGTAGAGGTAAGTGTCACGCTCAGCCTTTCAGCAAATAATAATCCTGTTTACACCGTGATGCAGGGCTTATAAAGGGCTCAAAATATGCTGAGTGCAGCTATTGCAGATGAAGTTTGTTGTGTGTGTATGAATAAGGAAAAACATGTACTTGAGCTCTGATTATTTTTTATGTGTTGACTAATGATGTTTGATAAAAGTATGTAATGCTCCCTCTTCTAATTGTGTAAATGTGAATACACACTGTGCCAAGTGATGCATATTTAACATGCACATCAAACACTATAATGACAGCTTCAATAACACTGCATCTTCTCTCCGCAATACAGGTTTGGTTTAAAAACCGAAGAGCAAAGTGGAGACGTCAGAAAAGACTTTCCTTTGTTGTGGGAAACACAGAAAACTAAGTAAAAGATGACTGTGAATAAAAAGCTGTGTGGGTTTAAAAGAGTTTTGCTTGTTATTGTTATTAAATATAATAGTCACACACGTTGTTCTATACCGGAAAATGAAGCAAAACATAAAACTTTTTTTCTGTCAAACTGTCGCTTTAAAGCCCATTTGTGAGTCTGATTGGTTGAGTGCATGCTGGCATTGTGTGCTATTATTCATACTGAGGGTTTAATCTGCAGTGCATAAAAGGGTTGTTGTGGTTCGAACAGGTTGTGATAAAGTGTCCTTGAGAACAAATAAAACGCTGTCGAAAAGGGATGAAGTAACTTCCTTTATTTGTGCAATAACACACAAAATTTGACTGAAGACTCCCAGCTAGAGTTTGAATATTTCACAACATTGAAACAGTTCCCTTTCTTCATCTCAAAATGAAGCAATTATAGAATGATCGGATATAGTATCTGTTAGTAGTACTGTCTTAAATATCATGAGAGGTCTAATTTTAAGATTTTCTTTACATCACAGAGAGCAAAAGACACAGTTTGTGCCTTTAGGTGATGGTGACGCACACACAGACCTCAAAACATTAACAGGAGCTGAACGTTAGTTTGTTGCTTCCAGCTGTTTGTGGGAATCTTTCCTCTGAGTTTATCAAATACTGGCAGCATCGAACAGCGGCAGGATGAATACGAAGAACTTCAATGTGAGAGGGGTGAGCATCCACCACAGCACAACACAACACAGCACAGTGGTAACTTCAGAATTTACTTAGAATTAGAAATAAATCATCCACGATCGATCAGGATCTAACATCAAATGAAACTGTGTACTTTAATTCACACGTCAGCAGTGACAAACACAATCATAGTTTATCAGTTACAGTTAAATCATTAGCTGCACTGCTGAATCATGAGCTCCACCACAGCTGCAATTTTTTTACAGTTAAAAATATTTGTTTTCTTATTAATCATTCCCCAGCAGGACATTTATGCACATCTCTCCAATCATTAAAGCAGCTATCAAACTGGTGTAGTAACAATAAAAACACAGTTTATCGTACCATGATTGACTGTAGAACTTATCATCACACATTATCATAATTTTCAATACTAAAATCATGTGAATGTTTTGCCTCTGGGTAAACTTTTGCCCCTCAGATACACTGCAGTGTCTCTTCTTCTGGGACACTTTGAATTGTGTTCACCATGAAATATCAAAATTACAAAAACTGTTCCTGAATTAGTGTCTGCATATCAGAAATTTTGAAGCAATAACTGTAAAATAAGACACCAACATTTTTCAGTTTGTGATTGCTTACATCCCTCACTGGTGATTTCAAATAGCCTCGATACTACAACAATATAATATATGAAATTCACTTGTGGCTTTTCAGCTTTCTGTATGAAAAAGTTCTTAAGGCACTTCGACCACAAAGATTTATTTTAAGCTTACAATAAAAGCTATTTCCTCAGAGAAGTTCCATAATAAAAAATCTTGAGAAGTGATCTTATGCCGCACTGAAAGAAATATGAGGCGGAAGAAAGCTATAATTGAAACCACCAAAAGAGTGGTGAAGTCATTTTTTGTGGCTACTTTATGAAATAGTGGAATAAGTTAAAATTATAAAATCATTTTCTAGTATCTTAGACAAGTTACTTTGTTTAGGAGGACGTGAGTTATTTTTACCGAATGTTGTTGTTGTTCCACACTCCAACCACTTGGTGGCGGAAACGCACCGATGTTTGCCAAACGTCAATAAACCCCAAACAGACGAAGAAGAAGCTGTAAACTCCCGGTGACGTTTATTCCTACGTACGTTGTCTCTACGGTGCTGTCTTGAGGAGGCTAAAAGTTAGCTAATAGGTTCAGTTTGAGACGTTCAAGCTAATTTAAACGTTTAATTGCCTACGAGATTAATTGTTTTTTCTCAAACGGTACTAGTCAGGTAGAAAAGCCGCCCCTCTGTTTTTATTTAGCCGCTGTTAGTCGTAGAAGAATCGCCTTTAGCCGTTTGGGCTAGCAGGCTAACAGTGTCCACAATGGAGGGCAGCGCCAGCGTGAGGAAAGCCTTGTCCGGGACTCTGGTCCCTGCAGCGGTCACAACAGTGGCTCTCCGACAGCAACCCGAGGAGAATGAGAAGGGGGATCTGAAGAGAAAAGTCCTCGATGAAGAGCAGTACGTTGAGGTAGGTGACGCCCAATGGTTCTGAGTCAGAGACGATGTTGTTGTTAGCATAAGAGCGGCTGCTGCTAGCTAGAAACTGTCCAGGTTAACAAGTATTCAATATACATCATGTCACTGGATTACTTCTGTTGTATGTGTTACTTAACTAGCCAAGGGAAATAGGACAGTATATCGGCTCATTTGTGCCACAGAGCTTGTACACAACAAGAAGTTAAAGTCGCAGGTCTGTTTATGTTGACATTCTTGTACTCCGGACTAAATAATATAAAAGACATTTTAACAGTGCGCTAGTTGCTGTAGACTTGAATGTGGGGGAAAAAAAGTGTCACTGACTTTTTTTTCCAGACATGCCTAGCTCTGTATGAACTTCACTGTTTGTTAATTTCCTGGGACTATGCTTCAGCAAAATAAGAAAGATTTTACTGCTAAATCCGGAAGTAGTAGCCACACATTACAGCTCCACTATGAAACCTCAACACACCTGCTGCTAATCCCCCTTCTTGATTCAGCCATCCTGGAGGACAGATCGCTGTAGGAGTGTCACCTCCCCTCAGGGGATGTCAGTGAACAAATCCTGTTACCTCTGTCCCTTGCCACTGGCAACATGGGACTGTCACTTGGCTTGTTTCTGTTGCCTCAGCTGTCTCTGCTGCCTCCTCCCTGGGAGGAGCACAAGCGGCATTGACAATTCATGGGGTCAGTCTGCACCCTCCACGTCGACCCAGGGTTGTCAAAGGAGGTTTGCTCCATATCCAGACCTTGGGAGAAGTCCGATCAGGATGATGATCGCTGTGTGTACAAGGAGAAGGATCAGGCCACACTCTTCTAAGACAAAACGGCAGCTCATCGATATCGCCTTAATGACCTCCCCAGCCTCTTTGTCTCTGCTGCCAAGTGCATAGGCATCCCTCTTACGTCTTCCCTGTCATTGAAGCTCCTTAAGAAAGACTTCACCTTGCGTCCCAGTAGCACACCCAAGAGAGACAACATGTCACCTGCCTGCCTATGCTGCCCATCTTTAACTACACTAAGTGGGAGTGTGAAACTCCCTCAGCAGCCAGCAGTGGTAGACGGGCTGTATTACAGCATTTATGGCTGGCAGTGGGACAGAAGCATCCCAGGAACTGAAGATGTAGTCAGGTCCTGCCTTCTGTATCCCGGCTATCACTCTCATCCAAGAGGGACGGGGTGACGACTAGCATGTTTAACCACTGCTCTGGGAGTGCATGTCCTGTCCTAACCCTTCACTGTATGAGGATGGAGGGGAAGGCTTCGCTCGATGCCGGCTCTTCCTCTTTCTTAGGTGCATTCTCCTCTCCATCAGGGCTCTCAGCTTTGCCACATTCATGTCTTGTTGGTGGAACAGGTGCAGGGACTTTTTTATCGCACACTTCCTGAGCACGGTTCCTGGAAGTGCGCATCGTTAACCATACAGGGAAAATAACTAATTTCACCATGACAGGACACGAGGACAAATGCATGCCTTCACCAAAAGTTCTTTTTTCGTACAATGACTGTATAAAGTAAGCGGGGGATTTCTCAGGTGTTACAGTCAGGACAATAGTCACATGATGATATGACACCAGGATAAATAGAATGTTCTGATAAAGATGAAGTTGCGTTATGTGCTTTTTTAAAGACAGTTGTCACAATAATGATAGCAAGGTACTACATCTAAATGATATTACTGTATTAATACCACTCAGGCTGTTTTTAGGCATCAGCAAGCCACTCACGTATTCATGGTTAATGACTTAGAATTACCATATGCATTTTCTGCTGATAATTGTTGTCATGCATCATCAGAAGTAAGTCCATGGTGGTTGATGATATCGACTCTAAACACTACCATCTGTGCTTGTTTGTTTTTCGACAGAGCTTAGAGAAGATCATCCAGAGGGACTTTTTCCCAGATGTGACCAAATTGCAAGCACAGAAAGACTATCTCGACGCAGAGGAAAACGGAGACCTTGAGAGAATGAGAGAGATATCCATCCGATATGGGTCATCGTTGACTAAATCTACTCCACAGTCTTCAGCACCTTGTGAGTTGGCAAAAGAAGAAAAAAAGAGCTGTGTTTGGTTTGCTGCTCCAGTGTAGATGAATGATTCCAAAAGCTACTGACAATATACCAGGAGAGGTTTCAATTGCATTGACTAGGTTTTTTGTCTGGTTCCCATGAATGTGCTTTATACCTGTTTTTCCCTTTTTCAAGATGTGACTCCAGCTAGTTTTGAGACGCCAGTGGGTCGCTCAGGATCCCCCGCCTCCACTCACTGCGGTAAAGGTCTAGATGGAGGTAAGTAGCACATTTTTAAAGATGAACACCATAATGCACTTAGCTTAAACTGTACACCCATGTCATCCTACACCTTCAAACCCTTTGTTGCAATTTTTTTACGTAACTTTACTCTCAAACTGTACAATTCCTCATTTGGTCTAAGAGTTGACTTGTTTGACCGTCAAATAAATGAACTTCTAAATTATTGACGGTAATTTATCTCTATTTCTATCATTGTTGTATTTATAGAGAGAAAGGAAGACGACAAGGAAGAGAAGAGGCTCCCCAGTCTGGACCATTTCCTTGCTAAAAATACCAGTGAGGATAATGCATCCTTTGAGCAGATAATGGATCTGGCAAAAGACAAGGAGAAACTGAAACATGCCTGGTTATATGAGGCGGAGGCTGAGTTCAAACAGGTTTGTATGTGCAGAGTGTTTAAGATAAATTTAAATTAAATTAATGAAATACTTGAGTTAGGGTGTGCTGGTCATAGTATTTGTGATCACAGCTTGATTTTGAGTAACTTTGTATTTTTGTCAGCTTAGACTTTGTAGCTTCCTCTGTCACCATTACAGGGGTTGCTTGATTTTTCTGTGTTGTGGAAGATTATGGTGCACACCTAGTCTACATTAAAGAACTTCAAAAACACTTCTGATCTTTTTTTTTTCTTTAGCGCCATGAGGAGAACCTTGCCTTACCATCAGTAGAGAAGGCTGCTCTCGAATGTGTCAAAGCTGGACTGGAGACATGGGAGTACAAAGCGAAGAACGCCTTGATGTATTATCCAGAAGGTAGGAAGATCATCCGTGGGTAGTTGTGGGGTTTTTTTTCTGCTTAAATTCTCCTTAAAGGCACAAAATTCATCAAATTCAGCTGTGGTGCTTGATTTTTACACTTTTTTATTCAGGAGTTAAAGACGACGATGCTCTCTTTAAGAAGCCAAGGGAGGTCGTTCACAAGAACACCCGGTTTATTGGAGACCCATTCAGCAAAGCTCTGAACAAAAGCCAGATTCAACAGGCAGCAGCTCTCAATGCACAGGTAGGATTTAAGAACATATATAGTAAATCAGAAACGATGTTGCCCATATGTGCCCCATAGTTCAGTTGAAAAAATGTTTTATGCCTGAATAATGTCGCTAATGTGTTACGTTTTCTGTGCAGTTCAAACAGGGTAAAGTAGGTCCTGATGGGAAGGAGCTTATCCCACATGAATCCCCAACAGTGAATGGATATGGTTTCGAAAGAACTCCTTCCCCTGCACCTGGTAAGAGGGACTTATAATCATCTTCAGTACGCCTGAGCCTTAAATTAGAGCTGGCTGATGTGGCCACACGTAAAACCTCAAATTTTCTTTCATTTTAAGATTGCGATCATCTTTTTTTCTCTCTCTGTAAACTACATAAACATAAACAAGACATGATCCCATTATTTTGTCATGTGCTGGAGCAGGCTTGTCATGCTGCCACTTTAAGGTCAAACACAATGCTGCTGTGCAAAGTCTGTGAAAACAGCACAGCAGTCTGTTTACTGTCAGACCAAACCATTTCATTACTACTGAGGTAATATGACTGTCTTTTATCTGTTTTATTTCATTGTCATCAGCTGCTGTCGGTGTTTACTTGTGTTTGACTGGAAAAGCTTGCGAGCGTCTCCAAGGACGTGACACTGTTTAAAGTCAGGCACATTTTTTCTCACTGCTGGCACTGATGTTGTTTCAGAGGCAGCAGAGGAAGCACATATTGAAGCTTATGTTGTGCAAAATACAAATAGAAGAGAGTTCAATGTATCACCCAGCCCTACCTTAGCTCTACATTTGGAGTATTTTCTCTAAAAGCCTTTGTTCTTTTAGGTGTAGCTGATTCGCCGCTGATGACGTGGGGTGAGATCGAGAGCACCCCGTTTCGTCTGGAGGGATCGGACACTCCGTACGTTGAGAGGAACCATGGGCCATCGTTTAAGGTAAAGAACATTCAGTGGTGGATTTGTTGATGGTTTCTAATTATTTAAGTTGTTGACGGTGTTTGTTGCGTGTAACAGATCCCAGAACCAGGACGCCGAGAGAGGCTGGGTTTGAAGATGGCCAACGAAGCCGCCGCGAAAAACCGTGCAAAGAAACAGGAGGCGTTACGAAAAGTCACAGAGAACCTTGCGAGGTAATGATTCTCTTTATTATATCTGATTGTGGAAGTAACTAGTAGCACACGACATCTGGAAACTGTTTCCATGAGCACAGTTGAGCTTAAATTCAGAACTATTTTACCCTGCTTTTTGTTCACGGTATTTGTCAGGAACTAATAGAACACTTCAATCTTTGTGTTGCAGTCTGACGCCTAAAGGTCTGAGCCCGGCCCTCACGCCCGCCCTTCAGAGGCTCGTAAATCGAACATCCAGCAAATACACAGACAAAGCCCTGCGAGCGAGTTATACCCCATCGCCCTCACACAGAGTCACCGGGTGCAAGACTCCCTTCGGCGGCCCGTCGACCCCTTCGGGAACGCCGACGCCGAACAAAGCCAAAACGCCGAGCTCTCAGGACCTCACGTCACTCACGGACAATCTGCTGCAGCTTCCCAAGAGACGGAAAGCCTCAGACTTTTTCTAAACAAGAGAAGCTACTCTCCTCTCTGCTGGGATTGTACAAAGAAATGACTTATCCTCATGTGGAGAACTTTAATAGAACTGTCTGGACCCATTTTTTTTAATAGATTTAAGAGCACAATTTTTTTGCTGGAGGACTGAATAAAGAAGTGGACTGAAGCATTTCTGTGGATCTATGTGTTACATTTTGGTGCAGTTGGGCTCATTTAGATCTCTGTGAAATACAACTTGATGCCCACATTCTATTGAACTGTGTTTTTTTGCTCTGTACTCAGTACAAGGTTTAAAAGATTTTTGTGCTGCTGTTTCAACTCTTAACAAACTTTTGTTTTCGTTGCCACATTGCCACCAACACATGCTTTTAATATAATTACCTTCCTGTGCTTGTTCTTGTGAATCACACATTCAAATGAGATTTCTACACCTCATACATGTCAACATGACATCTCAGTGTTCGTCTCTGCTTCGCAGAAATTACTCAAAATGAAATGTGCTATCACGTTGCAGCAGGTTTTGTCAACCTCACACAGTCATTTTGGTGCTAAACTGAGAAAACGACTTCATTTAGATCACCGATTGTCACTGTAAATCATCGATGTTTCTGTTTTTCATCCTGCAGCTTCCATATTTAAAGTTGAAAACAAATTACAAGCAGAGCTGGGCTCGGCATCACAAAGCTGTACTACTCTTTTATAAAAATCTATAATTTCGCTCAGCTAAAAGAATGTAGTGCCATGCATCACCAGACGACATCCTTCTATACAGTTGTGTTCTATCCCCGCCTGGTGGTAGAAAAGAACTGGGAATAACGACATACTGTATTATTCTTTCAAGCTATTTCAAATCTATAGCCGTTGTTATAATAGTCAGTGTTTAAACTACAGCCAGAGACAACATAACCTCAGTGTGTTCTTCAGAAGGTTTGAGGTTACAGGGTTCAGATTTTTGAGGCGGCTCTGTTATGTTAGCAAGTCAACACATGCTGCAGATTAACAGCTTCACCCTCTTCGGTGGAGTCATGGTTCGGAGGTCAGTGTTTACTTAGCAGGGGTGTCTTCCAGGAGTCAATCAGACCCTGTTTTGACTCGAGGAGCATTACACATTTAAAGGTAACTTTTAAGCATCTCAATGAGGTTTGATTTGAGTAGTTGTACGCTTGTGTGCATTTTAAGAATTGAGGCTATTTGTTTAAATTATTAACAGATGGGAAAATATATCTTTTAAAAAGTGGGCACCATCCAATTGTAGAGGCTTTTTAGTTTAAAGTTTGTTGTCTTCACTCAGTGTTTTCTTGTTCATTTTACTAAAGAGACACTTTAAAAAAAAAAAAGAAAGAAAGTCTGCTAAAGCCTCATTATAGCGTCAGTGAAAATTGGCATGCGTTTTATTGCACATGCTGCGGATCATCCTATATTAAAATAAGAAAGGATCGCATTCATATTGACAGGAAGAGTAATTACAGTGACTGGGAAGTGCACAAGGGGCATATTATGTTTAAGCCCAGCTTGAAAAAAAAACCCAAAGTGATCCTTTAACAATTGAGGTTTTGATATCTCAGCAACTTTCATTGTAAATTAAGGGCAAGTATCATCATCAGCATGAAAGGTTTTTCCCTTAAGATGTTTACTTGTAGCCCAGATATGTGGCACACATCTGACGTGAATTAGTGAACCCCCCAAGGTAACTTCAAATAGGGTTAGCTTTTCTTTTTTTTTTAGTTTATGAAGATTGATTGTTTTTCAACCTTAGTTTCGAGTGTGGAAGCAAAGCTGTGCTGCGCTGTGGTGATTTGTGGTGATAGGCGATGGTGCAAATTATGTGCACACTGTACTGTGCTCCAGGCCTGAAAGCTGCTGTTAAGATATTAGATATGTGGCCCATTATGATAGCAGAAGGAAGCCATAAAACAGTGGAGGACAGGGGCTCACCTATTTTGATAATTGCATTCTTGGAGTCTGACCCAGGGACTGTGCACAAGGTCAACCAGGCCGCCATAAAGAGAATAAGAGGAAAACACCACAATAGAGCCACTTGTGAGTATAAATGATAAAGTAGGGGATTCTTTGGGATCCCAAATGATAAAGGCAAACCTAATTTTATAACAGCTTTGGTGAAATAACAGAAGAGTTGGCTTTGTTTTGATGGTTGATAAGGGTTCAGGGAAATTTGCAAGTTTAAGCAAATTATGTTGAGTTTAATTAAATTCCAAAAAAATAAAAAAATACAACTGGAGCATTTTAGCTGAGGGCTCACATCCAGTGTCCTGTGCGGCCGCAGCTCGCACGTTGCGCTGCGTTGAACTGCGCCAGCCGCCAGCGCCGCCCTTGTGTCGGTGCCATCCGCTCCGCTCGACCATTGATAATATTCTGACTGGAACTCATCACATAATGATCTCAGCGGTGGCAAACACACACACACACACACACGTCGGTTATCGAAGTGCCACACGGGGGTATAATCTGCTAAACTCCGCCCCGGCAGCTCCTCCAGCTGATGGCCTGCCTGTGTGTTGCATGTTTGGGATTGTTGTGATGGGAGGCCGCAGCCATCTTGGATGAGCGCCGCTCCGCACCGAGCAGCAGCAGAGGACGGACGTGAACGGCGGAGCCACTTAGCTAACGTTAGCCAGATTAACCGACACTCCGTGTTGCCGTGCGGCGAGACTATGCTTTATTTACGCCGTTTTTCTTCGTTATCCGTCGCTTGAAAGGCGTGAAAATGGGTACGAGTTGTGTGAAGCGGTTAATGTGATCATTCCGGAGAGGGCGGCGGCGGTGCAGTTCCTCGGTATATTTGTTAAATTTCTTGGATAGAGGAGTTACTATGAATGGAGGATAAATGTTGCCGAAGGCTGACAGCAGCAGTTTCGTCCTCTTCTCTCTTCTCTTCGTCCTCACGTTAACGGACCCACCACGGACAGGTAAATTGTTTTTCTCCTTTTTTGTTGTTGCACACATTCCCGTGGGCTCGACTAGAAAGTGGGGGGAAGAGATTACAGCTGCAGGCGGGAGGCGGCGGGTCCGGCGGAGAGGCCTGCTGGACAGACCGGGGGCTCCCGTGATTCTTACACCGGTTCCGAGCTACTGCTGGACCGTGTGGAGCAACGCCTTTCTGTCGGCGCTGTTGAAAGTGGTTTTATTTTTACAAGTAGGCCAACTAAGACGACCAGTCAGTTATAAATAAACCACAAAAACACTTTTTAACGCAGCAACAAATCTCTCAGTATAAACATGTAGTTCTCCAAACACACACGCCGTTGCTTTGATTTAATTGTTAGCTAGTTGGGACCCGTCTTGGTGTCGCTGTGTTGGGGAATTATGTCGTAAAAAGATACGTGTACGCTCATAAAAGCTGATGTGTTAACTAAATTAAAAAGGTGTGTTTAGCCTCCACCACACTCCTTGTTTGGTGAAGCTGTAATTTGAAATGCTCGTCCGAGATTCGTGCTCCTGCATCACTAAAGCTGGATCACACTGACACATGATTGAGCTGCACACACATCACACTGATAAATCACAGTTGTTTAACCCTCATAGCATAAATTATAAAACTGAGGATGCTTCCACTCACATTTATGTTCCTTCTGAGTTGATAAATTGAGATGAAAATGAATTGCATGTGTCACAGGTGCAACACCTACTGAAACCATATTAAAAACCCCTAATAAGCACAATATTTGCAAACTACAGCCCTTTTTTTTTATGTTTGTTATAAAATGGACCAAACGGGGACACATTTTTAGGTCATTCCTATCAGCTGAAAGCCTGCTTTAGTGCTCTGAATGCAAGCATTTACATAGCTTCTGTGTATACATTGGAGCAGCAAGAGGACTTAATGCATCTTGTGGTTTCCTTTAGGCCTGGTCTTGTGATGCTGACAATTGTGTGGATTAGAGAAACCGCTATCACTTCAGCTCATGGATAAACACGTTATTGTTTGGCTCAGTCCAACGGGAGTGATCTCCTGCCTGGAAAGCAAATCACGCACAAAACGTTGCATGCTTCATGTTGTGCAGTTATGTACAGGTTTGGTTTGGTGTTTGTGCATCATTAGGAGCTTCAAGTACAGTCAGTTATAGAGTAATATACTGCAACTTTCAAAGAGCATGCTTTTTTTCCCCAGATGTTTAAGATTACACCTTTTGTTTGTGCAACTTAAGGGAGTCATCTAAAAAAAGGAAGGATATTTTTTTTTGTACACACACTGGTGCGTAATCCGTTCTCAATGGCCTGGGCATCAGTTCGTGCATGTTTAGAAACCGCTGCTCGTTGTTTGGGTGATCCTGTTTTGCACCGGCTGTGTCACAGTGTGATTTTTTGCAGGATTTCCACAGCTTGATAGCCGGGCGACTTAGACGTCGATTGCTGAAATGTAATTCCATTTTAAAAAGAAACACTCACACACGTAGAGTTTGAGCAATCTTTTAGTGTTTCTCCGATTACGACAGGCCATGCTACATAAAATGATTACACAAGATGTTCTCTAAATGCTTTGGAAGTCATTTATTTGGCATTTGTGTCGTCTCCTAATCCACACCTGGTTTTTACCCCTTTTTTTAAACAGCAAGTTGTAGCAAGCAAGAGCGTTTTTAAGACTTGCAAAAAGCCTTTTGTTTTGTGTACTTCCTTCTGGGAGTTTGCCAGCGAGCGAGATGAAATTTAAATGTCAAAATATTTCATGGTAGTTTAAGCTTTACACACCCTCTGTGCGAGAGAGAGAGAGAGATCGGCAAACAGTGGAGGTGGTTTTAAGTCGAAATGTGCTCAGAATCACTTTTAAAGACAAGAAGTTGAGTTTCGCTTGCAAATAATCCAACTTGGCAGGTTGCTGGTGCATGTGCATCATACGTAACACTACGGAGCCTGTGCTAATGTATTCGAGAAATGTAAAAGCAGAAATGGATGCGATGAAAATGCAAATGGCACGGCTCTGCAGAGGCTCAGTGGATAGGACGTGTGCGTTTTCAGTGTTTGGTCCAGTTTGTTCAAGTTATACAGAGATCTTAAACTGTGGGTGAGCAGGACACAGAGTCTGGATTAGATTGAAATACTTTAATGTGCTTTCTAAATAAGTCTAAATAGGCACAACGCAGCCAACAAGCGTATTTGAACGAGGCGAAGTGACCACATCCTGTTTGGACTCGTATGGTGCGAACATGCCCAAGACGTCAGATCAGGACTGAAATATCGCAATACGCAGTTATCAAGTTGAACAACCAGTCAGCTTTGTTCATTGTCTCTTGACGCTGAGACACCAGTCATCTACACTGACAGCTGGTTTCTCACTTCTTGTTTGTTTTGGCACCAAAAAAAGTTGGTGGCATTTTAACTTTTGGCAGGCATCATTCGTCACCAACCAGCCTCCTGCTGCTGCTGAGAGGGGTTGGTGGTTAACTTGCAGTCACCCGAAGGATAGAGACTTGAAATAAATACAACCAAAAACTACTGCAGTGTTTTACATTTCCTGAAATAGTATTAAATAGTCATAAGTAAATGTGTTGTTGTGTAAAGAGGGCTCAAGATGTTTGGGGAAAATAGCAAATTGTAATTTTTCTGACAGACAATGTGAATGAGTTTGTCCTAAAAATATATATACGCAAGCTTCAGTTTATTAACCACTGTGTCAAACATGTGATAGAGCATCAGCACATGAAGTATTGTTAGAAGTGTGACTGTCACACAAGGACGGTGACATTAATTTGTAAAACCAGTGTCACAACAGTGTAAATTCTGGGTCAGACATGCTGTCCGACGTACCGAGTGTGGTTAATACCAAACTTAGACTAGGCTTATGTCGGTCAAACCTCAGAGAACATTAACATGAAGCACACATTATTCTCACACTATTTAAAAGTTCAACCTGTTCAAATTGCAGCATCCCTCTTTTTAGTTAACAGCTACACTTCATGTAGCCTACATTACAGTCTTTGTGTAACTGCATAGTTTGAAATCGATTCATTGCTCAGCCCTTTTCAATATGCAAATAAAGTCCTGAAATTTAACATCAGCAATGTCTAAGGATGAGGCTAAGTTGCAGTTAATTTGTCTGTGGGGTAACTAGTAGGATTTCAGATTAATAATTTCCTTCTCCAGGATGCTGTGAGGCACCACTGACCCTCTACACATCCACAACAAGACTTTATCACTGTCATACTTGAAATGTTACACAACTTCTTCCCTGTGTTTTCAAATATATTGTACCTGATATCCCACCAAACCCCCCTGGAGACCGATTACGGTGATGTATGTGGTATTAATCGCTCCTGTAACACATTAGGTGTTTTAATTAATTACTACTTTCCTTACTTTGCAGATGTATCGCGTTAATATTTCATCTCATATTGCAGCGTTGAGACTTCTTGTTTCAGCGCGGCTCTGTTTACCATTTTAGGTATTGGATTTGTCACATCAGAACTGAGAGTGTCGAGACTTTAAGTGCAACACAGGGGGGGGGGGAAAAAAAAACATGTGTTTAACTTCTTGGTATCCGGTTAAAATAGCACAAGTGGCATGTATTACTTTGCCACCCCGTAATCTGTTGATGTAAGAAGGAGGTTGACCTGCGCTGCTTTCATTCACACTGTGTCGAGAAAAACCTTGGTTTTTAAATGCGAGATGGTCCAAAGAAAATGAAATGAATACCCAGACCCACTCAGTGCTTTCAACAGCGAGCCTCGGCGCTGATATGAATCATCAGCGGCTAGAGATGATGCAGTGTGTGTGCACACAAGGCCAGCTCACTGTGTTGTTGTACTTCAGTGGGACTGAGTTAGGCCCGTCTCATAGTCTTTTCCTGTATTTTCCTGTAGGTTATATAAGAGATGCAGAGGCTCACTTTTCTCAGGGTAGCCAGCATTCACTCACACATCACAAAATCCAAAGCTTGTGAGAGAAATAGCTTCAGCAAGAGATGATTTTTGTTTTTTTTTTTCTGTTCTGTTTAGCCTTCAGGAAGTGAAAACTCCTTATTCCTGGTCCTTTTGTCACTCATCAGCGTCGTTTTGCCATGCATGTCGAGCATTTGCATCACCCCACTCTGGACTTGTTGTGGTTAATAATGAGCAGTCATGCTTTTCAAAACAAGAAAAAAAAAATCAGAAATGCATGCAGCAAAACCTCTCTCTGATTAAATCTCCATCACACACACTCCCATCCCAATCAGCAGGAAATTCAAATAATGACCAGGGAAGTGCACTTCAAACTGAAGCTGGTAAAGATAGAAGCTGCTTTAATGTGGATATTCCCAATTTGTGATATCTGATAACTTAAAGCAGTAGGCCGTCTGAGTGAATTCCTGCAGCACGGTTATCAGAAATGCACAGAAAGCATGAATACCGATGTGTGCAGACGGCCTTTGTTTAAACGATCCGTCAGAGACACAAACCAGGCGTTTGTTTTATAGATCTGAAGAAGCACATGTAGCTGTAGCTTCAAGAGTCGGCTGTATTTGAAAAATTCAGCAACCAGTCCCGGCTACAAGTCCTATTACAATATGCATTAGTGAGAAATATGTAAATGGAGAATATCCTTGGCTGTCAGAGGATTCATTACAGCCGTGCACGGGCAAGATAAAGTGCTCACATCCATTTCTGGTGACAGTATTCATTCAGCCGTGCTCATCAAAAATGTCCTGATGGATATAGGACTGGCAGGTCATATTTTCACTCAATTAACAAACGAGATTAACGAACCTCTGAAAGCCGTGAGCATTTTTTTTTCAACCTACTCGCAAACAGTTGTTCATTTTAAATATATGCATTAATTATTGATCGCTCTCTCTAATGTGTCTGTGGATATACGGCCTCTAATGTTATCCGTCATTTTGACACACATTCAGGCTTGATGATAATACGTTCTGTCCCGGGAGACTGAGACGGCTCTGTAATGCGTCTCAATCCACTTAGCATTAACTAAGAGGAGGTGACGTCCGCTGTGTTAGAGGGCTCTTAAAAAACGTTTTGGCTAAGGTAGCCTTCAAGGATATGGGTTTCACTTACTTCCGGGCCTTATTTAAGTGTTTTTTCCCCCCTTGTTATTTACATTTGCTAATGACAGATCCTCATGTGAAATTGTCAAAACAGCTAGTGGGTTGTAGGTAACTTCTTGTAGAAGTTAGGGGTACATAGCATAGATAGATGGTTGTAGATGGACATTTAATTGTTATAAATATTAGTTTTTTTATGTTTTATCCTGGTTTCTCTTTTGTTGGCAGGGTGGTGAATCGTCAACTTGTAATAAAGCCCAGAGAAAAGTCGTCAGTTTCTAGAAAAAAAAAAGTTAATTTATCCTTTTTGTTTTCTGGGGCAATTTCGAAGCTGCGTGTCCGTTTTTATATATATCTAATAATGGTTTACTAATCTGTGCAGCTGTGAGAGTTCTAGCGCAAATAAAAACAATCACTACTAAATCCCAGCGTAGGTTGTGGCCTCGCACTGTGCGGAGATCATGAAAGCTCAAAGTATGGTTTGTGTGGGTTAAAAGGTCACCAAAGACGGTCGGTACACAGATGAAACAACAGTCTTGAAATAGCTCAGAGCTTTTCTTTCTAAGTAAAAATAGTGCTGCCATATTTGTCGGGCGAGTGGGTGATCCAGCTCCATTGTAGGTGCATGTAACCACCTGTATCCAACCGACAGATGGTCTCATGTGCCCAGATCTGGACCAGCAAGGGGGGGTATCACTGACAGATGCCAGAGAATTGCCGGCAGTTTCAAATTTATAAACAATTATTTACTGAACGAATAATTAATGTCCCAGTAGACGACATGAGGAGCAGCACAAATGGGATGAAAATTCTGAGTTTTCACGCTGATATATTCATCAGTTAAGTGCAATTCTGAAAGACAGGATAGTCACTCTGATGTTTCCGTTTGTTGCAGGTCCGCGGCTAGCTCTGGCAAGATTATTGTCAGGTAAGCAAGAAGTATGTCTTCTAGTGTAGTTTACCTTTTTGTTCGATTGAAACTCTTGAGCAGCCTCCCTTCAAAAACATCCTGGTTATGTTAATATTTTGCATTCAGACTGGAACGTTTGCCACCTAATTCTCTAAACGGTAATTTCCTGGGAACCAAACTGTAGCTCATTCTCTGCAAAACAAGACCTTTATAAATCAGTCGTCTTTTCTCTCCCCTGATGGTTATTGCTGGTAGATCTGTTGTTTCATCACATGGCCGAGGCTGGACGCTGTAAACACATACGGTGGTGAGACCCGCAGGCCACACCGACACGTATAAATGAACAAAAAGCTTATAAAAGTTAGAAATGTTGTTGTACGTCTTCTCTTGCCTTCATGTGCACTCTGTTGCTTGACAACACGCTTACAAAAGTGCTGTTGTTTTATTCTCAGCGGTCTGATCTTGTTGAATTTTAAAACGCTTTTAGCATCTGTCCAGCGGCAAACACAAAGCGGCAGCTCGCAGGCGTGATTAAACTTATCTCCAGATTAAAACATTTTCTCTCTCCTTTGGTTGATTCACATCTCCGACCAAATGTAAGCGTGTTCGGTCACCAACTGCTGTGGGTTTTCATCCAGTTATCTCTCCTATTTTGCTGCCTCAGTATATTAAATTGGTGAGTGGGCTGACGGGGAAGATTGGAAGTATATAATATGGGTTCACAGTAGCTGCTGATTCAGTCCATCCTACTGGGTGCAGTGGTAGCGCTGGTCTTATCTGACTGTGAGTTTCTCAGTCTGCACGAGGAGGAACATTAACAATCAGTTTATTTATCCCGTATTATCACCCCATAACCATCTAAGATCTCTTTGAAAGCTCACGTGGCGTCATTCAGCCCTCTGCTGACTCCAAATGGTTTTCTCTTCTTTGGAAACGGCCTCAGTCACGTGCAGGTTTGACCACACGAACCCTCTTGTTGTATTTCAGAGCAGCGCTGCAGCCCTGGGCAGTTTGCCTGCCGCAGTGGGAAGATGCAGTGTATCCCAATGTCCTGGCAGTGTGACGGCTGGACAGCGTGCGAGGACAAGAGCGACGAGATGGACTGTCCCCGTGAGTATAGCTCACTTAAGCCCTCTTACACCCACTCTGTTACCTAACACCCATAACGCGATTGATTTCTGGAAAGAATAGCAGCACCCAGGACCTTTTCACACTTGGACGATCAAATCGCAGCTGAGCAGCTCTGAATCCAGGTGTGAATGCAGCCACGATGCCTTAAGGATGTCACTGGATCTAATCAGGCCGTATTGAAGGATGCTCAGTGATGCATGTTGACTACCCATAAACAGTCTCAACCCTCGTAGCCCCGAGCAGCTTCTGGGTGGTTTTTTTTGCTCATGTCACGTTTTTGCTCACTGTGGGCTCGTTTTTCGCTGCAGTATGAAGTCCTGTGCCTCTCTGGAAACAGCACAGCCAGCCATGGAAGTAGAGAAAACTCAGAAATGTCTCTGTGCAGTATACCAAAGTTACAATGCTATAAATCATACAAAAAAATACAAATAAAAAAAATGGATTACTTTGATGTGAAGTGAAAAGGAAAAACCTGCAATCAGCATGTACAACATTTGTCCAAGCACCCACAGGTGTTTCCAATACTGGGGCAACACGGTGATTCTACCCATATTTTACTACTTACATTTTTAATTGGTTTCCGTCCTTGCCTGCTCTGTGATTTGTGTAAACACAGGCTGCAGTTCAGCCCCTGGATTTGTGTCCTGTGGGTGTTTGCTGCAGGTGAATCAGTAATGGCTTCTTGGCCACGCAGAGGAGCGTAGAACTGGTTTATTACAGAATCTGAT